GATAGGAGTCTCACGGTCTCTCCTGCCCGGGCTGGCTTTGAACCACGATCCTCAGATCTCAGCCTCCTGAGTAGCTAGGATGACAGGCGTGAGCCACCAGCGTCCGGCTTTGCTGGCTATTTTTGAGACAGGGTTTCACTTCTTGCCCTGGTGTACATCCGGTCTGCCATTTTGCCTATTTTAAGTTTCTTGTTGTCGTTTGCATGGTAGGAGCGTGCCACTGTGTCTAGCTTTCCTCTGTTGAGACCCTTTACTCTCTGATAGTGGACTTTTTTCCCCAGGCTGGCCTGCAACCACAATCTAACCTCAGGCTTCCACAAAACTTAGGATAACAGGCATGTGCCACTGCACCTGGTTTGAAAGGAAGTCCTGTGTGACCTTTTCTGCCTGGGTTGGCCTCGAACTGAGATCCTCCCATTTTCCAGCCTCCCCGAGTAGCGAGGATTACGGGTGTGATTCAGAGACGCCTGGCTTGAATTTTAACTATTTTGCCATCTCTTTGAATGACTGGCATGTTTCACTTAGCACAGTGTCCTAAAGGGTGTACCTTGGGACAGAATTACTTTGCTTTTTGACGACTGATATTGCACAGTACCTAGGTCCTGCACTGTGCCTCAGCGCCACTTCTGGCTTTTTCTTTTTTATGTGGTACTGAGGAGTCGAACCCGGGGCTTCATGCATGCTAGACAAGCACTCTACCACTAAGCCACGTTCCCAGCCCTCTGGTTGTCCATTTTCTTTGTAACTTAAGTCTTTCCGAGCATGATCATGTTACCTCTTCTTCCATGACATAGGTGAGCAGTTTCCAGTCCCATTCCACTGCTTTGGCATTGGCTGGATGTAGCCTGAAATTCAAGTGACATGCATTAGAATTCCGGAGAACTTAGTGGACGCAGTGCTAGGGATCTGAAGATGAGTCCCAGCCCGCCCTGCAGGGACCAAACCATGTCAATCGGAGGTAGCTGTCAGTCAATACGCTTTACCTATCGGGAACTCAGGATGCCCTGGGATTTGTGGCGCTAATCATAATATTCTACTTCTCAGTTCAGCGATTGGCCCAAAACATCAGCTCACGTTTCAGGTAAAGCCAATCCGGAATCCATTCCAGAACTGTCGTATCTGGAGTATCACAAAAGCTTGTGGCTGAGGACTAACTGTGAGGAACCCAAAGACATAATAAAGCAGAGCTACAAAAGCATCCTGGTGACCAGTTTTGAGCATAGAAGCAAGTAGCATCTATTTTGTGTGTGTATGCTGGTACCAGACCTTTGCACTGAAGACCTCGGGCTCTTGCTTAGCTTTTCCCTTTAAGGTTGGAGCTCTACCACTTGAGTCATACCTCCACTTATGGCTTTTTGCTGGTGAAGTGGAGGTTAAGAATCGCATGAACTTTCCTACCCTGGCTGGCTTCCACTGTGATCTTCAGATCTCAGTCTCCTGAGTAGCTAGGATTACAGATGTGAGCCACGGGTTCAAGTCACATTTTAATTCTAGGTTTCTAGTATGCAATGTCACCAAATTCTCTCTCTTGCTCTTTCTGGTACTGGGGCTTGAACTCACAACCTGGGCAATATCCCTGAGCTTTTTCATTCAAAGCCTTGAGCCACCGTTCCACTTCTGTTTTTTTTTTTTTTTTGTAATTAGAGATCAGAGTCTCATGAGTTTCTGCCTGGGCTGAGTGCAAACTGCAATCCTCAGATCTCAGCCTCTTGAGCACTTAGGGCTTGCTCCACCAAGTCCTCCCAGTACTAAATTCTCTTTCACCAGTTGTTAAAGACAGTTCTGATGGGCTTTTGTGATCACATCTATCTAAATAACCCTTTAAGAAACCCTCGTGGGCAGTGTGGCTCAGGTGATCAGAACACTTGCCCATCAAGCACAAGGCACTGAGTTCAAGCCCCAGGAGCACCTTTAAAAAACAAACCTTCCCTCCTAAAGCTTAGGAAAGAGAAAATTGAGTCGAATTCCCCTAAACTCCCCGACAGCCAGTGTTACAGCTCATACTGTTGGATTTTCATGAGCAGCATGTAGGCTTCTTTGAGGACATCCACGGTCTCGGAGCCGCTGAGCAGTATTTTCTGGATGATGTGCGCCACGATGTCTCTGGGTGGGTAATGCTGCGGTGACACGAAATCCATCAAAAACTGCACGGTCCCCAGGGGGAAGTTTTCTTCAATGGTGTTGGCCACCATCCTTAGTCTTCGATTAGGGATGGGTTCTAATTTTTGACCTTTGCTCTGTAGAGAGAAAAAGAAACAGAAAATCAGGATGGCTTCCCATAGTGTATAAAACCCAGAGGTTTTTCTGGAATAGGTTCAGTGAAGACTGTAAAGAAAAGTCTGTCAGTCCCTCTGTTCATCCACTCATCCATCCATTTTTAGCATGGGTACCGGGCTTGAATTCAGGGCCTGGGCACTGTCCTTTTGCTTTTTCATCTATCTATCTATCTATCTGTCTGTCTGTCTAATTTTTGGTATGGGTATGAGGCTTGAATTCAGGGCCTGAGTGCTGTCCCTTAAGCTTTTTATTTTTGGTGCTCTACCACTTGAGCCACAATGCCACTTCCAGCTTTATGGTGGTTTACTGGAGGTAAAGTGTTTCATGGACTTTCCTGCCTGGGCTGGCTTTGAATCATGATCCTCAGATCTCAGCCTCCTGAGTAGCTAGGCTGACAGACCAGTGTCTGGTCCCCAGAGCTGACAAGGGTACGATCCTGTGTGATCTGGAAGGTATAAGGGCACCAGCGAGAGAAAGGCATAGGAGCGGAAGACAAGAACATGGCAGAGATCTGCTAGCGAGTCAGCCACACGAGTGCTTTACATCCATCTCATCAGCGATCCTGCGAAGCTAGGGCTTGCACAAGTAGAAGGGATTCCTCCCATGCTGATGTTTAAGTGTGGAGCCTGAAATCTGAACCCAGATCTGATTTCGTCTACAAGTAGTGGGGGGGGGGGGAAAGATCAAACCTTTACTGAAGACTTGGCCAGTTCTCTCAGGCATGGACCCCAGGTTAAAGGAACCTTCGCGAGGTCTATGGAAAGGACACTTAATCCCTGGAGGGGAGAAGTGTCGGCTCACCTCCCGGGTGTCTTTATCGGGGATTAGTGTCTGGAAGAAGAGGTGATGGACGGGAGGGCGCAGGAAGTACTTGAGCCTGTGTAGGCAGGGCCTGTTGAACGCCCCGCCCTGTGGGACTTGCGGTTGCACCTGCGCAGACTTGGCGTTGGTAGGCTCTGATGGTCTTCGGTCTTTTGTAGCTGCGGTCGGTGTGACCTGAAGCCAGGGGACTTTCACTAAGGGAGCTTCGGGCTGTGGAGATGGCGGCATGGGGGAGCAGCTGGGAGAGGAGGGGGTGGAGATGTCCATAGGAGTGTCACGACTCAGGATATCACTGTGATCTGGTGGTGAGCGGGCTAGGTGGCCTGCTAACTGTGGCGCAGGTCTCAGGGACCGTGACGTGTTTGCTGGGGGCGGCGATGTGTGGTTGCTTGGTGGCTGTGGGATGGTGGCTGGTGGCTGTGGTATAGCTCCTGGTAGCTGTGATCCAACTCCTGGTGATAGTGGCACATCTGGTACGCGGGGCACGTCTCCTGACCATGGTGGCGTGTCTCCCAGAGCCTGTGGCCTGGGTGGCGTAGCTGGGTATGATCGGTGTGGAGGCGGGCCTGGCAGATGCGGAGGTAGACGCGGACAGTCTTGCGGTGTGCTCGGGGGGTGTGGAGGCCAGGACAAATCTTGGGGTGGGTGAGAAATAATCTGAGGAGCACACGGTGCATTCGGCCGGGCGCAGGGCACATTCTGAGGAGGGGCTGGCACATTCAGCGGGGCACAGGGTACGTTCGGCGGGGAGCGGGGGACATTCTGGGGGGAGGGTGGTACCTTCTGGGGGGGGCCAGGTACCTTCTGCAGGGCGCAGGGCAGGTTCTGCGGAGCGGGTGGCACATTCTGAGAGCATGGCGTGTTCTGCAGAGAGCATGGCGTGGTCTGCAGAGAGCATGGCGTGGTCTGCAGAGAGCATGGCGTGTTCTGCAGAGAGCATGGCGTGTTCTGCAGAGAGCATGGCGCGGTCTGCAGAGAGCATGGCGCATTCTGCAGAGTGCACGGGGCATTCTGCGGGCCACTGGGCACTGTCTGTAGAGCACATGGTGCTCCTCCTTGAAGCGGCTGAGACAGAGCCAGAGTTTGGCCCAGCATGGTCTCTGATGGGCAGGACAAGGCTCGAGGGGGACACGAGGAGGGCCGGGGGGGATAGGCGCAGGCTTGTGGGGGGCACGGGGAGGTTCGCAGGGGGCACGGCAGGGCTGGTAGTGGACAAGGCACATCCCGCTGCGTGCATGGTAAGGGCGCCCTCTCATTGTTACTGTTGCTATTGCTTATGGGGGAGAACGAAGACAGCTGTAGGTTGGCCAAGAAGCTGAGATCACTTCGGAACGTGGTTGAGCCGCCATTCGGCTGCCCCGGGTACGTCGAGTCCTGCCGGATCGCTCCTTCATAGATGCTTCCCTCCGTGTCCAAGCGCAGCGGGGTGCTGTTCATCACTCTCCGGGTTGGAGGCCGAGAACTTCTGTCCACCTGGCTTTCTGTCACCTCTTTGCTGGAGCATGTCTGAAGGCTATCTGGCTCCTTCTGGGAGGGAGCAACAGGGTCCGAAGTCAGATCGAGGGTGGCAATGGGTCTACTTTCTTCCTCGCCGGTGGTGAGATCGATCACACAGTGTCCGTTGCGGTCCTTGGCCCTTGGTCTGGGTTCTCTAGTTAAATCAATGAAGTCCTGCGGAAGAATTTGCAAGAGGAGTTAGAAGATGAGCAGAGGAGCTCACGCCTGTAATCTCAGCTACTCAGGAAGCTGAAATCTGAGGATCACACGGATCGAAGCCAACCCGGGGGCAGGACAAGTCTGGGAGACTCTTATTGCCAATGAACCAGCAAAAAGTTGAAAGTGGAGCTGTGGCTCAAGTAGTACAGCACCAGCCTTGAGTGGAAAAAGCTAAGGGGGCAGGGGACCAGGTCCTCAGTTTAAGCCTCAGTAACAAAAAAGAAGAAGAATGTCATTATCTGCGAAGAATGACAGTCTAGTTTTAGAGGATGTTTACTTCTTAGACAATCTGCACATCTTACCTACATAAACATTAGTAATACTGTGTAATAACAGCTAATTTCTTTATTTTGTCAGTTGTGGAGCCTGAATTCTGGGCACTGTCTCTCAGCTCTTCAGCTCAAGGCTAGCGCTCTACCACTTGAGCCACAGCGCCACTTCTGTTTTTTCTGCTTATGTGGTGCTGAGGAATCGAACCCAGGGCCTTATGCATGCGAGGCAAGCGCTCTACCACTGAGTCACCTTCCCAGCCCCAAACAGTTGATTTCTTTACCGTCTTGATATGGGTAAGCAGGAATGCAGTGGGAAATTTATTCTGATCAAAGGAGAACAAGGAATTATAAGGGATCTCAACCTCAAGCTTTTTATTTTTTGCTACCAGTAATGGGGCTTGAACTCAGGGCCTTGGTCTTGTCCCTTCGCCCTTTTGCTCCAGGCTGGCACTCTACCACTTGAGCCACACCTCTACTTCCAACTTTTTGGTGGTAATTAGAGATGAGTCTCATGGGCTTTCCTGCCCAGGCTGATTTGGAACCACAATCCTCAGCTCTCAGCCGCAGTTGACAGCCACGAGTGTTAGGGTAAGCAAATGTAAGAGGACTTGTGTACAAAGAATGGATAGGGTGTGGGCTGGGAAGGTGGCTCAGTGGTAGAGCGCTTGCCTTGCATGCTCGAGGCCCTGGGTTCGATTCCTCAGCACCACAT